GAGGCAGAGCTGCTCTGCCCCGGGCTTCCTGGAATCAGCTACTGATCAGTTTCAGCAGCAGCTGACTTGGGGACGCCTGGGGTTCTTAAGTTGATTCTGTATGTAAGTCAGAACTGGCGGTCAGTTTCAGCAGTGTCTTAATCTGGATGCCAGTTCCGACTTACATACAGATTCAATTTAAGAACAAACCTACAGTCCCTATCTTGTACGTAACCCGGGGACTGCCTGTATGTCCATGGTATCTCCAGTCTAAAATTTCTGGATCATTAATTTGCACATTTACTCTTATTTTAAGTAGATTTTGAGGGTGTCAAGTCTTGTAATTAAGGATTTCACTCTAGGTACACAATAGGACAAGGATAATGATATATGTAAAATAAAACCTCGCACAATAGAGTTCCTCAGTTCCACAGATTAACTACAAATAAAGCAGATATTGTTCACTGAAGTGATAAAATTGAAGATAAACTGATGACGTACTTCTCTCAGAGTCCTTCATCAAGATGGCCCCAGAGTAAGAGGACAGAATTAAGACTATTCAGGTTACCTCAGCTGAGCATTTGCATATGTTGCATTGCCTGGTATCATTTCATTTTGTTTTTAAAATTGAAATTCCAGACTATCAGATTCTTTTAAGTAACTGATGAATATTTTTAATTTTAAATTCATCTGGAAGATTTTTGTATGGTATACAGAGAGTTAATACATGCCTAGAACAAGTTCTGGCTTTAAAGCTCTGACCAGGAGGGAACTCCAGAATGCAGAACTGGTGTCCAACCTGGTTCTCACAAAACAAACAGAGCTGCACTCCACATGCCTGTCCAGGAGTGCTATGTGGAATAGGGTGAAGAGATCTACATTTGTGTTCTGTGTCATGATCCAACTCCTTATGCATTCTTTGCTTCTTGAACTATTTAGGCTCCTGGCAGGAGCAATCTGCACAGACAGACGTGAAAGGATGGTGTGGATTCTGCACAGACAGACGTGAAAGGATGGTGTGGATTCTATCTGGTCAGCCAAAACAAAGGTGCAAATAATCATTGAATTTTTAAAAGCAAAAAGGTCTAGAATTTGATGTTGTGAATGCCTTTAGCCTTGGCAAATACTTTGCAATTGGTGATTTTGTTTAACATTTTCATATCAATATTATCAAACTTTTCAAGTCTTTATAAAGGTTATTAGCAAACCCAACTCAGATTTCTTTTTAAAACAAGCTTTTTGAAAAAAAATCCCTTGCAATTACCATTATCAGCTTAGTAAGCAAACATACTAGGAACATTTGTACAATAAATAGTTACGGTAGATACCCATAAATATGAAGAGTAGCATCAAACAGTCTAGAACCCATGCAGAAAATAACAATAGAAAATCTCCACAGTTTACAAGTATCAGAGGGTAGCCGTGTTAGTCTGAATCTACGAAAACAACGAGAAGTGCTGTGGCACCTTACAGACGAACAGATTTATTGTAGCATAAGCTTTCGTGGGCAAAGACCCACTTCATCAGATGCATTCAGATGTTTTTTCAAAGTTTACAAGAATCCATGAATGAAGGTAAAATACTTGTCCTTCTCAACCAGGGAGGTGACCTAGCTCCTCATATCACTTCATGGCAGAGGCAATCTTACAAGTACAATGAATCCCACACATCAGAGATAGAAATACAAGGTGTTCAGAGAGTGTAATCAAACAAAGGCTATTCCACCGGAACACTAAAGCAATCCAATTGTGAAGGAGAAAAATCAAAAAACTGTGGAGAGGTTACATGCAGTCTATAAGCTCCCAAAGACACAAAACCCAATAAAAAACAAAAGTTTAAGAATGTGATAATGTGATGTGAAGCTTTTAACTTCTAGATTATTAATATGAATCCAATGTAGCTCGGCAGTTACCAAAAGTTGTCTAGTCTAAGACCTGGTTTACAACACATCCTCCCAATCACCTTGATATAAGATACGCAACTTCAGCTTCAAAAACAGCATAGCTGAAGTCGATGTACTTATATCTACTTCCCGCAGTGTCTTCCATGCAGTGACGTTAACAGCTGAGGCTCTCCTGTAGACTCTCCTGATGGAGTACCGGAGTCAACCGGAAAGCTCTCAGAGGTCAACTTATCATGTCTAAGCACACACGATAAATTGACCACTGACGGTCCAATTGCTGCAGCGTCAATCCACCGTGCAGTGGAGACACACTCCAAAAATCATTCTCTCAAATAGGGAAAGCAGAGGGTATTTTTAGGGGTGTGAAGTATGTAGAGAAAACCATAAACACATTACACCCCCTAAAAATAACCACCACCTCAACATGGGATGGTTGAGTTGAAGATCCTGACCAAAGCAAGAAAGGAGAGAAGTAAAATACAGACCCTGGACTTCAGAAAAGCAGACTTTGACTTCCTCAGGGAACTGAAGGGCAAGATCCTCTGGGACACTATCATGAGGGGAGGGAAGGAATCCAGGAGAGCTGGGTGTATTTTAAAGAAGCCTTATTGAAGGTACAGGAACAAACTATCCCAACATGCAGTAAGAAAAGCAAATATGGCAGGTGACCAGCCTGGCATAGCAGTGAAATTTTTGGTGAGCTTAAATACAAAGAAGCTTAACAAGAAGTGGAAACTTGGACAGATGACTGGGGAGGTGTATAAATATATTGCTCGAGCATGCAGGGGTGTAATCAGAAAGGCAAAAATACAACTGGAATTGCAGCTAACAAGAGATGTAAAGGGAAACAAGAAAGGGTTCTACAGGCATTTCAGCAATAAGAGGGCTATGAGAGAAGATTTGGGACCCTTACTGAACAGGGGAGGAAACCTAGTGACGAATGATGTGAGAAGCTGGATATGAGTTAACAGTGTGCCCTTGTAGCCAAGAAGGCTAACGGTATATTGGGGTACATTAGGGGGAGCACTGCCAGCAGATCTAGGGAAACGATTATTCCCCTCTATTTGGCACTGGTGAGGCTACATCCAGAGTACTACATCCAATTCTGGGCAGGCACCCCTCCTCCCCCACACACAGAAAGGATGTGGAAGCATGGAAAAAGTCTAGCAGAGAGCAACAAAAATTATTAGGGGGCTGCAGCACATGACTTA